GATGAGGATCAATCCTTGAGCCTTGCACAAGCTGGGTAAGTGTTGTATGTACCACTGAGCTTCACTCCTATACTTAGCATGCATTTTTAAATGGCCAAATTCACTACTGGAAAAAGACTATATAAAACAAAATTATGTACTAAGGATTTTATGACTAATGAGATTTTCTGGAATGTAATGCTAAAGATCAGGTTTGTGTTATCTTTATAAAGCACAGCATGTAGAGAAAAATACCAACATCAATGAGATTCATGACTTAGAACAAAAAGCACATAAATACTCTTGAATGTAGACATTAGTACTCACTGGGAAACTAGCAGCTACTGCCAAGATGGCAGAGAGCAGAAGAAGAGCTTTCATCTTATTCAGAATGTCCTAGACATCAGAAGAAAGAGTACGTATTACCATAAACCAAGAAAATGCCATTCTGGTCCACAGTATGTAACTAACAGTTTTCTGAACTTGAAAGTCATTTGCAAAAAACTTAAATTATGTGTTAAGTTACTAATGGATAAAAATTTAAAGGTAAATATAAATGTGATTTGAAATTTTATGACATTACATCAATTATTTAAAGTGACTATTCCCATTACTTACAAATAATATTTATCTGTAATTAGTAATAAAAATTTCTGGAATGAAATAATACACTGTTTTATGTAAAGAACTTTATTAGTGGGTAAACAATTATTTAGTTAATAAGTTCAAAGCAATATTGCATATAAGTAACACCCATGAAACTTATTTAGGTGACAGAAATAGTTGCATTTATAACAGGCAATTCCCTTTAATTCAGTATTACTTAAGTGAATCTAATGAAGTAGAAACGTCCTAGGAGAGGACATTTTCAAAGTCTTCAGCTCTATTTTAGTTTTCATTGTAGATTTATTCTATTTTACACATTGCAATGTTTCACTTAAAATATTGATATAGTTTAAGAAACTTGTGTAATTAATGATTAATCTGTGAAATAAGAGATAAGTCAATTTTTTGCATAAAACATTTTGTTACTAATGCCATTGTCACTCATTTTCAAATAGCAGTGGGACACGTTCTCTGTAGGATGATATCATGAGTTACTCTCTTCTTTTTACCAGTTTTGTAAAGAGAATACATAGTTTTTATATAGAAAATATAGGCAAGGGATTGAGAAAAGTGATGATGTTACCATGTTGGAAAGGAGAGTTTAAGGGAATTCTCTTGAAGGAGGTCATTTGTTTACCTACTGATAAACCATTTTTGGAGACTTACTATATAGTCCTGGCTGGTCTGGAGCTTACTATGTAGACTCCAGACCAGTAATTCACAGATATCCTCCTGCCTCTGCCTCCCAAATGTTTAAATTAAAGGTGTGTGCCACTACAGCAAGCAAGTCTTTCTAGATATCCTCTTAAACATCATACATTAATTTAAGTTTGGGTATATATAATAGTTGAGGGAAATCCTGTGTTTATGGAACTTATGCAGTAACTGTTACTGACCAATACATTGTGAACTTTTCTGAAGAATTTAAAAATATTTTACATTGAGGAAAATGTCAGTTTCCCGTATCATTAACATCACTTTGGTGACTCTGAGATGGTTATAGAAATTCTAGGGAAGTCTGATTACTCTTTTATCTGTCCTATATATCTACAAGATAGAAAAATAAAATGTAAAAGAAAAAATGTAAAAAAACCTTTTAAACTGTCTCTATTTCCTGTCATATTGATGGATATCTTAATTAGAACCCATAAGGTACCAAATGATAACTGATGATTTTGAAGACAGGAACTTAAAAGTCCTGTCAGTTTTAGCATTTTAATGGCAGATTGGCAGGATAGAAATCCAACAGTAAGATTCTCTCTCTCTCTCTCTCTCTCTCTCTCTCTCTCTCTCTCTCACACACACACACACACACACAAACAAACCTACTTTGTTTGGCAAAGCATGGTGCTAGCCTAGCCACTATCAAGAATGCAATAATAAAGGGTTGACTTCTTTCATGTGAGAGACAGATAAACAGACATTTGTAATATAAAGCCATCTATGGCATACAGCACATATTATACAAAGTGTTAAGAGCAATAGATAAGACAGATTAAGGAAATGGTTTTTAAAGAATAGAATTCTACTGTGTCTTATACAAAGGAATCATTTTCAGCTGGTTTCAAGGATTATCAAAAACATTAATGAAGCAAAGTAAGTAGATCATATCACAGAGACTTTTAGATTGTGTTTTACAATCACTACATACATAATTACCAATTACCTCCTTTCATGTTTCTATTTCTGAAGCCGCAGCAGTATACTGTTATGTTGAGAAATGAATGATGTCATGAATAAATTAGTTTGTCTTTCTAGGACCTCAATTTCACTGAAGGATTAATAGGAGGAAGAATTTAAGTAATTTTAATGTTAAAAGCAACACAATCTATTTTAGAATGGAATATAAACTTGGCAATATTCTAAAGATGAAACTGACAAATTGGCAATTCTTTATACTTACAAGATTCCTGAAAAATGTGTGTTTCTTCTTTGCTGGTATAAGGTTCATAAAATTCAAAATGATGAACCTGATGTCACTTCCCCTGAATCAATGCCCAACCCCTACAAAAATTTATTTATGGTCACTCTTAAAATATACTGCCAACATAGCAGAGTGGTGATTGTCAGAAAATGCTTTACAAGCAGAAACACACAAAATTATTGTTTAATTACTGGTGAAAAATTTAAGCAAGTGTTACATTATAGTTTCAGTTTTTACAGTTTGTGGAAATAAGTATACATAACAACTAACCCTAAGAAGAGATGTAAACTTAGCTTCCAGTGACATTTGAGACCTCTTACCTCACTTTCCACTCAGTCTTCCTCTCTGATGCTGTTATGGAACGTGGTGGATGATTAGTACTGAGTGTTGCATCTCTTTTATACATTTAGTATGCAATAGAATGGGGAAGTCTGTGGTTGGAAGGCTGCTTCTTGGGGATCAGTTGCTACCCAGCTGAATCATCACATATCACACTGTTGAAACTGAAGAATTCCTGGTATTGGTAGTTTCATGGAAACCTTGGTTGAATGATTGTAGAATACATCCTTTTGTGGTTTTTTTCATTTCAAATTTCATGTACTTTTGTATTTGAAGCCTATCGCTAAACAAATATAAGGGCTTTATATCCATTAAGCCATTTAGTCTCTAAAATAACTAGCTCTAAGAGCAAAGTATGATTATCAAATCTTCCCATTGTACCCATCAAGAGACTGAGAAATTGAGGTTAGTAATTGGTTTAAGGAAGCAGCATAACTAGAAGTCTGAAAAGCATTGTATTGAATATAACTTTGATGTTTTTTGTCTTCTTTTTTTTTAAAATTCTATTCTGAGAATCTCATACATGAGTACTATGTTTGCATCATTTCTGCCACTTCCTCTCCTCCACTAAGGCTTTTCACATCTTCCCTTCCAAGCCCCTCTCAATCTTGTGACTCTTCATTAATTTATTGTTACATGTGGCTTAGAGGTCATAGACCATAGAGGAGAACTTACTACGACCACATTAATAAACCAATATAACTTCAAATTATATGCTAAGTACTTATTCTGTACTCACAGATAAGTGGAGCTCTCACCAGTCATCAAAAGAAGCTTCTTTTTGCAGCAGATAGAGATTGTCTCAGAGATGCACAATTGGTCAAAATGCAGAGAATAAGTGACTGTGGGGACCCCAGCCCTAAATGAAATATTGACATTGTCTCTAAACCTAAGTTACAGGTAATATTGTGGGAAAAGAGGGTGGAAAGATGGCAAGAGCTAGAGGGCCAGGGCACTTGCTGCTAGATCGTGTGTTTTAGGCATGACATGGAAGCCGCACCCATGAAATCCCAGATCCAGTCTCCACCAGTGCTTTATAGTGTCATTGTATTTGAATGTTAGAAAACTCATAACAAATCCAGAGAAAACTTAACTGTTTTTACCTCTAAGTCAACATTTAACCTAATTTTGCTGACTTAAAGAGAACTGAACTGCTTATCTATTGAATCATAGATAAACCATATATTGGTTTTCATCTTGAGTGATCTGGAGTCAGAGTAGATTTTTCCAGGAATAGAGAGGATAAGCATGTGAGTGAGTATATATGTGTGTGTGTGTGTGTGTATGTGTGTGTGTGTGTGTATATGTAACATGCTATCTAAACTTTGATTTTGGTTTCTTCTACTTAGCTGGAATTACTATAATGAAAATTGCTAATTGCTATTTAATTCTAAATTCAGAAATCCAGAAATGTTTTTCTCTCCATGTTTTTTATATGTTTCTTGACATTTAGTAGTGACTTTTCCTATGCTTGAGGCCTAGTTTTCTCTTCCTTGGTTTCTTAAAACCAATTCCTCCTAAATTTTCTTCTTTCTTTTTCTTTTGACAGTAGCCTTATATTTTGTTCTTTCTTTTCTCAACTTACTGTGCTTGACACTTATTTTTAGTCTTCAATTGTTCTGAACAAAATAGTCAACTTCTGATTTCTAACACTATGCCTTTAGCTAAATCTCTTCTCCAAGTACCCAGAGTCTTTCATACAACTGCACAACTCATTTTGATGTTTGATGGGTATCTCAAATGCAATCTAACTAAAATGAACTTGGTATTTTTCTTAACAAATGTGTTCTTGATGGTTGATAATCACTCAGCTGTTCAACCAAGAAATATGAGCTCACCACAGTTTTTTCATTTTATTTTATTATTTGATGGTGAATTTTAGTCATTTCATCCCCTTCCCTCCTCCCTTCCCCATCTCCCCACTGCTGAAACCCTTCTTCTCAAGCCTCCTTTCTACCTTCACATCATCTTTGTGTGTGTGATCCACTGAGTCTAATTAGAGTTCATTACCTGAGCACGAGTGGAAGGTTGGTTACCAGAGCATGAGCAACTTATTGGTGGCTACACCTCGGAAGAAAAAGTGACACCCTATCCCTATTAATTACCATTGGTTCCTCAAGGAGAGGTGGGATCTCGGGAAGAGGGCTCCCATCTATGGTGAAATGTTCATGGGCCCGATCTTGTGCACGTCTAGTGCAGGTAACCACAGCTGCGGTGAGCACATGAGTGAATGGGCTGTCTTATCTTGAAGACTTTGCCACAGATCTCCCCATGCTCTGGTCATGCATTTCCCCCCCTGCTGTGATGTTCTCTGAGACCTGGAGGGAATGGTAATCACATCCCATTTGGAGGCCAGCATTCCACCATCAGGTATTCTTGGCATTTCGAAAGTTATGAGTCTTTGCATTAACTGCTGCCCGCTGCAGTAAGAAGCTTCTGTAAACACACTGAAAGCAGCACTACACTATGGATAAAAAACATGAGTATTTAGAAGGCAGTTTGACAACATAACTATTCAGCAAAATAATAGTAGTATTAGGGCCTTTGACTTCTCCAGTCAGGGGCTCTTGCTGAGTTTATGGTACTAGGTTTTATTCTGTCTTGTGGAGACCTCAAATCTAATCAGAAAGTGGAACTTGTTTCCCTTACAGTCCTGCCTCTTTTGTACCAGAGTGCACATCTTTCCTGGCATGTCATTATTGTAACTTGCAGGAATTAAAGCTGGATGAGATTATTGATGATTTTTCTTCCTCAGCAGCCTGCATAGACCCTTTTGGTTTCTGGCAGCTAGCCAGTAGGGAGGAAGCTTCTAAGCTCAATTCCAGCTTTATTTCTCTGTTTTACATCCAAGAAGTGTGGTGTCTTCAACAATATAGTGTTATCAACTAATTCTCGTGTGTAGCCAAGAGGAAAGGTAAGAGTCAAATTGTTTTTGGCTCTGGGGTCTCCTTGACCTACAACTGGTACAGAGGTATTGCACAGCTGGCACTGGAGTTTTTATTTAGTGATTTTTTTTCCTTGAAAAAGAGTTTGAAGGGATTCATATGAAATAAGTTGGACAGATTGCCACACACAAGATGTCATAGGATTCTTACAGGACTTAGATGGCAGAAGTAAAAATTAATGTGAAGTGCCCAATCCTAGGTGACACATTTACAATGGAACCTCTACACCTAATGCATAGTAGAACAAAGGGTAGAGAGAACACTAATGCATCTCTCAACTCTCCTCAATGAAGCTCCCTCATGCAGCAGAGGTCCATGAACACAAAAGGACACAGATGGTCAAAGCATAGAGAATAAGAGTGTTCAGAGTGTGGGTCCTTGTACAGGTCTCTCATACTAATCTTTACCTACCCAGGGCTCAGGGACCATTGTGGACAAGGGAGCAGAAAGATTGTAAGAGCCAGGGGAGGAGGTGCATGACCATATCTAAATAGAGTCTTACAGGCTCCTGCGACTTTGCTCATATGAATCTACAGCAATTATATCAACACGCACAAGACCTATGCAGACTCAACCAGACAAAAACCCAGCATAGAACTGTGGAAATGGGCATCAGAACCCAATCTTAGCTGAAGAACTATTGGCAGCTGATTACTACTGGGGGAGGAACAGTTGATCTTCTTAAAAGGCAGTACTCTAGATAGGTTGACTAGATCTCAGTGGATGAGTTTGCACTGAACGACATCTGGGGACACTAACTTGACTCAATAGGCCTTAATATCAAGGACAGAATGCATGAAATCCAGGGGCCTGCTATGGCAGGCTGCCAGTCGGGAAAGGGGTATAAAGATGGTTAAGATGTATGAAATACATATAAATTCAATAAAAAATAAAAAATAAAAGAATTAATGTGTCAATATAGTAAAGTACTATATAAGGGAAAACTTTCTAAAGATTAAGAGCATCCATCCCTGTATGTATCGAGGAAGTGGCTCAGTGACCGGGGACTGCAGTACAACAGAAGGGATCATTGTGTTGCCAATGGAATTAGATTAGCTCTCTGTACCATTTCCACTCTAATACTTAGACTGGGTGGTTCAGGAAGAATACCTACAGGAATATTTTAGCAACCAAGAAAAAAAATTCTTTAGTCATTAATGGATTAGAATTAGTGGCAAGGAAATGCACATTACAAACCACAGTTTGGTAGAACTTGGTATTGGATTAACTCTTAATTCTGTGAGAGAGCAAAAATATGTGGCATCTTGTGGTCTGTAGAAGTTGGAACTTGGAGAAATTAAGTACATGGGTACCCTTTGGACAATTGTCATCATCTTTTGTGATTTAAAAACCATGAGAAATAGTTTAGTCTTTAATAGCCTTTTATTGTGTTAATAATAAAGATTTTTTAAATTAAAAATAACTGTGCTGCCTTTCTTTTAAGAGAACAGACCCAAATTCATACCCGAGTTTTCCTCAAAGCCTTATTCACTTCAAAGTGAATTCAGTGGCTCCAAATTCTTGAAAAAAGAATTAGAACCCCATGTGTCAATGTTACGGTATATGAGTAAACTTACCAATCCTTGGTTATTTACTTTTACTTTTATTTTTTGGTGTTTTTGAGACAGAGTCTCCTAGTAGCCCCAGCTGGCCTGGAACTTGCTGTGTAGACTAGGCTGGCCTTGAACTCACAGAGATCCACCTGCCTCTGCCTCCCAAGTGCAGGGATTAATGGCATGAGCCACCATGCCCAGTGGTTATTTTGCCCCTAAGCTATTTGAAAGAAAAGTGGTTGCAGTTATTGAATTTAAGCTAAATTGGAGAAAATCCTAGAGCTCCTACCAGGCTGATCCGCACAATGGCTTGGACTTCCTCTGGCACCAAGAATGTGATTAATAAACACTGAGTGTATGCACTGAGCTCTTCAGAGTCTGCTTTGGCCATCCCTGCTCTTCTGGAGGGTGAAGCCTGAAAGCCATCATCTAAGCATCCCTATAATGATTTCCTGTACATCATACTCATAACCTATGATTTTACCAGTTTAATTTGAACTTATAATAAATTTTATTACCAAATTGTTGTAGTTTGTATTAAATTATTTTGAAAAATTTTATTGAATTTTTGTGATTTTCATACAGTGTACTTTGATGGTATTTAGATCCCCTTTCCTATCCACTCCTCCCTGCATAGACCCCCACCCAATTTAATGTACTCTTCTATATTTATAATACAGCCTACAGAGTTTGATTTCTGTCCCCAAATGTCCTTCAGTGTGGGTCCATCCACTGGGCTCATCAAGAGTCCCATCCCTGTAAAACACCGTCTTTCCCCCTCCCAGCAACCATCAATTGCCCAAAGTTTCTTAGGATGGGCAGGGTCTAGGCTGAGAATTTTTGTCTATTCTGAGCTTGCCCAGGACTTGTCATGCTGTCACCATTGCTATGAATTCATATGAATAAGTGACCAGCTGTCTGGAAGACTCTGTTTCCTTGTGGTTATCCACTCCTCTGGCTCTTACAGTCTTTTCACTTCCTGTACTACAATGATCCCTGAGCCTTGGGAGGCAGGGGTTTGTAATAGCCATCCTATTCAGAGATAAGCACTCTGTGGCCTCTTGTTCTCTGCACATTGGCCAATTGTGGGTTTCAGTGTTAATCACTATCTGCTGCATAAGGAAACTTCTCTGGTGAGAATTAAGAGATGCATTCATCCTAAGTGTAGAGGTTGCATTGAAGAAGTGTCACCATAAGGTTAAGTATATCAGAGACACTTATTCTCAACATTTGACCAGTTCTATTACTCTACAATAGTCTCTATCTGTTGCAAAAAGAAGCTTCTTTGATGAGGGATGAAAAGAACACTTGTCTGTAAATATGAGGATGCATATTTAGAATAAAGTAAAATATTACATTGGTCTAGGGATGTGGCAAAGCAGGTTTTTCTCTAGCATCTATGACCTCTCCAGCCATGTGTATATGGCTATGTTTACTATTATAAACATGAATTCCCTCCCATTGAGTGGGCCTTAATTGCAATTAGACTGCTTTTGATTAACCCCAAGATAAAAGTGCCACTACTGCACCAATAATGATAGTTCGCTATTTCATTCATTGTTATTAGGCTCTATAGCTTGGTAGGACCACTGATTGGTTTTCTCCCTTGGCAGCTTGTATAGTATTATCTTTTTATTTTATTTATTTTATTTTATGTGTATAAGTGTTTTGCATGCATATATGTAAGTGGACCTGTGTTGCACAGTGCCTGCAGAGGTCAGAAGAGGGCATCAGATCTTGTGGAACTCGAGTTACAGATGGTTGTTAGCTATCATGTGGGTGCTGGGAACTGAACCTGGGTCCTCTAGAAGAACAGCCAGTGCTCCTAAATGTTGAACCATCTTTTCAGTCTCTGTATTAAATTCTTGGTTTACCATATTCACTATGCATTACAAATAGTTTTATTTTTAAGTTTAGTGTTCATTTTTTTATTGTCTACATTCCGTTTTCACAAAAGGTTTTTTTTTTTAACAGTAATGTCTTTAAAAAAAATTTTTAATAACTACATGATTAGAAGAATTATTTCACTACAGATTTAACATATTCATTAACACACTCCAGAGCAAGAGTACATCTCTTTCACAAGTGGGTGAAAGTTTCTAGGTTCACAGTTGAGTTAATACAGTTATACAATATTGAACTCAGCATAAGCCCTGTAAGACATAAAATTGAATGAGTTTTTTAACCTTATTTTTTATAGTTTATTACAAAACTTCCCTTCTCAATTTTTGTAAGCATTACATGTATCATTGTTCTAGTTTAAAAGCTTCCTTCTGTGCACTCTCTCTCTCTGTCTCTCTGTCTCTCTGTCTCTCTCTCTCTCTCTCTCACACACAACACACACACACACACACACACACACACACACACGCACATTCTGTCTAAAATGTTTGAGATGGATACTCCTTCTCCCTGAGACAAGTGTCTCTGACAGAGGTTCAGGAAAAGACCTGGAGAGCCATGCATCCTGGTCTAATTTCTCTTAGCAGCTTATTTAACCTGGACAAGTCTTTTAACTGTTACTAACCACTCAATTATTCATCATTAAACTACAACAAAAATGTTTTCCTATGTTCTACACAGCTTTAACAATTTAACTAAAAATGCTATTTCTTTTATGAAATGTAGTGATACTAAAACCTTTTACTGATTGTCTATGTTAGGTACACTTCTGATTTTCTCCGTGTACATGGGCCAGTATTTCAAGGTTCCCCTTTAGTTTTATACTTGAATAATTAAAATATAAGATTTTGGGGGCTGGAGAGATGACTCAGTGGTTAAGAGCAGCGACTGCCCTTGCATAGGACCCGGGTTCAATTCCCAGCACCCACATGGCAGTAAACAACCATCTGTAACTCCAGTTCCAGGGGACTTTGATGCCCTCTTCTGACATCTGTGGGCATTGCAAAAGTGCACTTACATACATGCAGGCAATGTAATTATACAGAAAAATAAAAACAATAAAT